AAGTCTGTTCTTTTTCTTTCAATATTTTCTTAGCTATTCTTTCATTTAAGTAAAATTTGTAATCATTTAAAATTCTTCTTCATTCTTAATCCTTAAATCTCATAGAATTTGGACTGGATTGCACTGAATTTATAATAATCTGGGAAGGATTATTCATCCAGGAGCGCGGTATGCCTATCCATTCACTCAAATCTTTTTTTATGTTACTATTTCTCAAAGTTTCATACTTTTCTTTTTTCATCAGTCTTACACATTTTCTTTTTAGGGTTATTTTCCTACATTTGCTATTATAAAAATGTATAAAGTGATCTGATCTTGACAAATTATCATTTTTCAATTATCAAATACAGAAAAATCAAGAAATGTGTTTGAATGCCGAAAAAAAGTTTTATATATAATAGAGGGAGCAAAGGGAAGACAGTGTCAGGAAATAAGCTAGGAGAAGAGCGGCATTTATAATACTATAGCGTATGAAGGTAGACAGATATAAAGAGTGAATGTCAAATTGATGAGATTTATTAAAGCTTAGTCAGGAGTTGACTCTGCACCCTGTATTATGTGTCACTGCACTCTCTAGGAACTGTACCTGAATAATAAAGTCACAGTTCAAAGTCAACCTGAAGGAAAGAGAAAATAACAATTTCCCTAACATCAAGGTGACAATATGGATGAATGCTTTACTCATTTGGGATAATCTGCTAAGAAGAGAAATGCTAATAAAGCTAATTAAACTAAAACATAGAAAAATAACTTTGTCAGTGGTCCAGAGACATGGAAAGTTTCAAAATCTTGACACCTTGCTTTTACTGACAGAATTTTGCTGGATTTCCCAATACGATATCCCAGAAAGTTCCTTCAGAGTTCCTTCAGTTACAGGGTACCACAGATTGAAAATTAGAAGAGGAAAAGAAGTGAAAAGGCTTTCTTTGGATCTTCTTAGAATAATTGTTAGTATTAAAGAAAATTATCATTACTTACTAGATTTGCTAAATCCAGAAATACACTCTTCCAAAAATTCTAAGGTGAGGTGTGGCTCATTGGCTGCCAGTGTCTTGCTAATAGAGACAATAAACAGGGTGTTGTTGGCAGGGATACATAAACCTGATGTCTCTAGTAACTGGCCCTCAATTTTTAAATTAAAGGTACAAGTTAAGGCACACAGAAGATTATAGGCAGCTGACCTAGGAGAAAACACAAATGAAGTTGTTTTAAAACTTATTTTTTCTTATAATTCCAAACTTTTTCCATAACATACAACTTTTGATTCTATTACAAAGCATAATCAACTAGTTTTAAATTTTATGATCGATTAGAGTTGTTATGAGCCTATGGTAAAATCAAAACACCCCTTGATCATTTAGGGATTTTTTAAAGAGAGATCCTTGACATAGCCAGAAAAATACCATGAGGCTCTTAAGACAAGTGAGTATAAGGCCTTCATGAAAGACATTCGACTGGGACATAAGGTATGAGTAGTTTACAGTTCTAAGGTGGATCAACAGAAAGAAAGAAAAAGGTATATTATATTTTCAGTGAAGCTACAACTCAAATCCTGGTTCCTCCTCCCATTAGATTTGGCTATAATGAAGATCATAAAAGAAGAGAAATGAAATGGCCCTTCATCGAGTTGTTAAAATCTTTAATCAGCATCCACTGAATTTTTTCCTGTGTGTTCTACAAGTTATACTATAAACAGGTCAAAACGTTTTTTAACATAATTATGTCCTCTCTATTCTTCTTTCCATGAACTCCTTCAATGTAACTACTAAAAACAAACAAAAAAACCTAATATATATTCAGCTTCTGTTAGAATCAAATATGTCCTTATAAATGTCTGAAAATATATTTAAACAATTTAAGAGGCAGCTCAAAACATCCAACTCAATTTTTTTAATTTTAATTTTTCTCCCCTAAAAAGCAAAAGAAATGGTTTGACTGTTCAGTAAATTTCAGGTTTTCCTCACCTCTGAACTTTCATCATGCTAATATCTATGCGACAGACATATAGGGAGAAAAAAGCCACTGAAATTTAAGTCTGCCAAAAGGCTTTTGCTCTGGTATGACATGCTTCAGTAAAAAGCAGAAGCTGTCAGCTTGCTTTACTTCACAAGAGAAGAATACAGGTTTATTCAAGCTAATAATTTTTAGAATATTGTTAGAATTCTTCTAGGAGAAACTTTGAATTACAAATTAAAGGCAGGGTTATAGCTCCATTTTCCTAAAATGAACATATTAATATTATTGTTTCTAAGTTTATGTATCTCTTTCTGACTCCTAGGAATTCTGAGTTATACTATTTTGACATCGACTTTTACTCTGTATATTTCAACAACTATAAAGAATTGGGGTTCCCCAAATTGGGGACAGGTGTCATAGACTACTCTGAGATAATAAATACTAAGCATATACAAAATTTTGTGTATAATTTCTGAGAGTTCATAGACACCATGAAGCTCATTCAGGTAAACAAATCTTGATTACCCCCTCTTCCCTTTTAAATAAGAAAGAATCTGGAATCCTAAAAGGCCCACTTATAAAGTGAAGGCTACATTATATCCTGGGGAAGATTTTTCTGAAGCTAAGCATTTGAATCTGTAAAAATCCTGACAGTCCCAAGGTAACTGGGACCAAAAAAAGTTATCCTAACATGAAATGGAGAGGAGGAAAAGAGGAGAGGGAAGGGGTGCAAAGAGACATGGCAGGGAGAAATGGGAAGGGAAATTATATTTACTAAGCACAAATTATTTGCTAGGTGCTATACTATACTACCATACCTATTATTTATTAAACATTTGTAATATATAAGGATGGCATTGTTACCTTTATTTTAAAAATGAGGAAACTAAGAGCTCAGAGAACTTCAGTCAGCATCTTATTTAAAGTACATAATAGTAGATCTAGATTTAAACCAAATCTACTGACTGCATATGCCAAACTCTTTCCTCATTCATGTTCAGATTATAAAGCCTAAACAGAACCAATTATATTCTGCTCAGATGACATCTATACTTATCTTAAGCTCTCTTTTAAGAATTCTGTTAAAGTCACATAGATGGAAAGTATGCATTAATGTTATTGTTTGAGTTAATGAACATTTAGCCTTCCTTTTTCAAACAATGATAATCTAATTTGATTGTGAGGGAACTTAATAGTGATATACTTTTGAACGTGGGAAAACTTAGAGGACTTGGAGGAAGGGAAACTTAATTTAGGAGTAGACTTAAAAAAAAAAGACATATTTGGGGGAAAAAAAACCCCAAAACTGCTATGTTATCTATTTCATATGAAAGTTTTCTGGAGAAAGAACATATATTGGTTTAGTGTGAATCACCGTATTCAAAAAAAAAGACATATTTGGGGGAAAAAAAAACCCCAAAACTGCTATGTTATCTATTTCATATGAAAGTTTTCTGGAGAAAGAACATATATTGGTTTAGTGTGAATCACCGTATTCTGAATTCCACAGTTCATGTGAATACCCCACAACTTTATGAGGTCACATTGGTTAACCAATGTAGCTAGCATACCTTCCAATTTACAATATTAGGGCAGAGGCTGCTTTAAAAGCTTATTAAATGGTGTCATTTTAAAGCAACAAACCCTGAATAAAAATGAAGCGAATTAAAAAAAAAAACAAAAAACCTACCGTAAACTAGGGTCTGAACTGCCTAAATTAAGTAATGCGATATTAAGCAGTGTCCCAGGGACATCTTTTGGCCGAATCTTGGTGTGCTGGGGGATGGAGTCGGGCTGTGACAGCTCCCAGCGCGTCCGGATGTGAATGATAGACTGGACAATGGCTTCGCACTCCTGGTGCATGAAGGTGAGTGGCGTGCCCTGGTTTGCAATGGTTAAGGTGAACTGGTTCTCATCTACCAGGCAGATCTCTTCAATTTCCGAAGCATAATAGATATCATTTAGAAAGACCGACTGCCCCAGGACTTTTGTTCGCTCTGCTGAGGTTACCTGAACAGCAGTAGAACCAACCTGGAAAGTGGAGGTGAGAGGGTGGAGTAAAAAAGAATTAAATATCATTATGCTGAATTTTATGAGGCCTCCCAAAACCAACTAACCATGTCTGTCACTTACGAAGAGTTACCACCATTATATATTCAAATGGGTTCAATAATTACTATAATATATGCTCTCGAGAAAAACTGAAAACATCAGACAAAATTTAATTTTTTAAAAAGGTCCAGAATCCTATAAACAATTACTGATCTTACTCTGAAAATTCTGCAAAACACATGTAATAATCAGAAGAATTCTCACTAAATAATTTCCACTTTCCACACATCCCTACCATTCGACTGATGAATAGAAACTACTCTCTCTATAACACTCTTCTGACTCCAACTCAATCAAGAATATAATTAAGAGTACGCCTCTCATATAGTCTACAAGACCTCCATGAAGATAACAAAACTTAGTTTTCCTCCATCTGGACTTACATTTGATACAATACTACAAGGACACCTAGGAAGGCCAGCATATAGTCTCATAGCCAAGAAAGGCCATGCATCATTTACTTAACACAGAGTGATACGTACTTTAATAGAAACTTTGGTGTCTTTGTGAGCTAGCTTGAGAGCATTGTGGAACACCTTCAGGTCCTCTTCTAAAGCCAGGGTGGCAGCGGGTAGTTTCTGTTGTTCATGCTCTATGTGCTCAGCCAGTTTCCCAGGACAGTCTATGAAAATGAGCCTTTTGCTGCCTTTAAGGCCAGTCAGCAGCCGCTCGTGATACTTGGTGTACTCTCTGACCCAGGAATTACAGTTATAGATATAGACTGCAGAGACATTGTCATAAGCAAAGCCAGGAAAAACAACAAACCACTTGGAGAGAAAATCCGTTTTAAAGCGATTGCTAGGCCCAGTATGGGTAAGGTCCACTACAATTTCATATGGCTTTGCATAATATGGCTTTAAAGTCAGCAAGACGTGATATATTAGCAAATCGCCGTTGATTTGACCAGTTTTGAACCTAAGGAAGATTACAAAAAAAGGTCACAGATTGTTAAGAGAATAAATATATAGTTGATACTAATCTACTTTATTACTTTATTTTCTGATTAGTTTTCTAGAGAAAACTAACAATAATACTAAACAATTACACAAAGTCTGGATCCATTTTTTAAATCAGTTGTTCTTTAGACACAGAGAAGTAAGGGTGAAGTAAAATGGAAGAGTTATATCTCCAATTCAAAAACTTTGAGCAACAGTATAGTCAATCAAAGAGGAAGGCAGTGGACATTGGTTGGTTGCCTTCAGGCCCACCAAACTTCACAGGTGAACAGTTTGGGTGAGAATGACCCACCTGAAGCCCTGGAGTGAACTGAACGACTTTAGTGAATAAATATCTCACCTTGACCAGAGAGAATGGTTCAGCAATGATCATATGACTCAAATCAGGACAACTAGGGCCAAAGAGGCCCAATTCAGAAACTATAGCTTAAACTGTTTGGAATTAAAACTTTTTCTTTTCTGATATTTATAAACAAGGAACATTCATCATTTATACATTTCTATACATTTATAAACATAGCCCTGGGAGTTGTCAGCTTGTATTCTGAGATATGAAAAAAATCCCTGCCTAAAAACTGAAGATATGAAAGAGAGAAATGAAGAAGGAAACTGGGACCTTGGCCATCGCATTTTAGTCCTAGATAAAGTCTCTCCTGGGAGCAAAACTTATCCCTGGACTCTTCAGTTGTGTGAGCCAATAAATTCTATTTTTTTGATTAAGCCACATTAGGTCATATGTTGCTTACACTAAAAAGAATGCTAATCAATGTGAGCAGCCAAAGTAAGTACCATCAGAAAGACCTGAAGAACATAGTACTAGAATTTCAAATTAAACAACATGAATGAACTTTGGCTCAACGTTCTATACTTGATGACTCTGGTAGTTCTACAACATAGGCTAAGATAAATATCCTTAGAGTTTTTAATCTTGTTAGGAGGAAATAAGATAAAAATATAATAGGTTAAATAATTTTAAAGTATTTCAAGATCAAAGAAAAGGTGAGGGTAGTAAATATTCTTAGTATATGTGCTGCTGAAGCGAGCACAAGAGTAATAAATAATCACTTATCAAAGAGACTGTAGGAAAAAACACTGCTATTAAGGTCAGAAGAGGGAGAGATCAACACAAACTGAGCAATGAGAGCTACTTAGAAGACCTAGTGGCTGAAGTGGTTAGGAGAAATTTCAAACTCAATAAGAGGAGGGATTGGTAGGCCTCTTGGAGAGAAGTAAAGAGAAGAAATAGGTACTAGATATGTTGAGGCAACAGTTAGTTTAGTTGGAATGGAGGATTCACAAAGAGAAGTTTTAAGAGATAAAGCTGGAAAAACACCTAATAGCTAAATTAGGAAGGGACTAAAACCGTTCAACTAAGGGGCTCAGGTTTTCTCCTAGGAGCCTGGCATTCCTCATAGTGTTCTATGGAGCACCAGCATCGGCATCAGCTGTGGTGTTTTCCTGGTCCCAGCCCAAATCTACTACGTAGTGGGGCCTGGCAATTTTCATTGTTTTTAAACAACCTTCTTGATTGATATTTATGTGCACAAGTATTTCTGAATCACTGATGTGTTAAGAAGTTATTCAACTTTATTTTATTTTTTTAAAGAAAGGGGTGATATGATAAAAGGAAGTGCTATATATAAGATATATAAAGGAGTTAAGGCTAGTAAAAAAAGATACTGTAGTCTAGGTACTGCCTATCAAGGAGCTAAAATACAGTGATGCACCATTTAAAGATGAAGGGATATATTCTGAAAAATGCACTGTTAGGCGATTCCGTTGTGCAAACATCATAGAGTGCACTTACACAAACCCACTACTGGTAACTATTATGTGCTACACGTTTATAGCACTGGCAGCACAGTAGGTTTGTTTACACCAGCATCACCACAAACACATGAGTAATGCATTGCACTATGTTATCTTGGCTACTAGGGGATAGGAATTTTTTGGCTCTATTATACATTCTTATGGGATCACAACTGTATACGCAGTCTGTCACTGACCAAAAAGTAATTATGCAGTGCAAGACTGTAAAAATAAATTACAGTAAAAAAGAAACCAAATCTAAGAATATGAAGAAATGATGAACATGGTCCAAAGGTCTGATTGGCATTATAAGAAAGGACTTGAATGAAAAGGACCTGCTGAATGAATACCAAGCCTCTGAGATTACAAAGAAGGTTGCTATCATGAACAAAAACAAAGAGATTATGAGGGGTAGCTACTTTTGGGAGAAAAAGGAACTTCATTTTAATACAGTGAATATGAGGTGATGACAACATTCAAGGACAGTATGTGTGTGTATAACTAAACCACGTAAAAGCATTTTCTGTCCTATATAATCTAAGTTTACTAGATACTTTCTCAAATCATTGCAGTTCCACAACTTGAGATGTAGATTATGTATATCCTATTTCTATTATCTTACCAATGCCCCAAGTCTCCAAACTCATGTTATCAGTCTGTGGTATACAAAGAGAATTTTTAGGTAAGATTTTAAAACTGCAGGGAAAATGCCATTTCATCTTCTTTTGAATGATATATTAATATCATTCAAAGGCATACAGTAGGCATGTATAATGAGCATAAGGTCAAAAGGCACTAAGCAGAAAACCCTCCCTGCCCTGGAGGCGGGATTTGTTCTACAAAGCCTCCTGTTATGCCAGTGGCCAACCAGGCAAATTGGAGTTTTTGTTCTTTTATTTTTTCCCCCCTGTGACAAGTGCTTTAGTTGCAGCAGAAAAGGAAATGTGTCATCTGTGGTTTGGTTTGAAAAGTGGAAAGCTAGCTGTACATATCCTTTTTTACTGCAGATTTACTTTAAGGCTCATATTCTTCAAGTCTCTTCTGCTTTAAATTACTTGGAAGCTGTGCTTCAAGACAAGAAAAGAAGTGGCCTATTAAAATCAGGTTATAATCAGATTTTGACCAAGCATTTTGTAAGGTAGGTAATATATATGGCTTTCCTAATGCCTTTTCACTTATAACTTTGGACAGATTTGTGTTTGAGGAAGTGCTTCAAATAGTACCTAAGACTCTTACTAATGAAGCAGAATCACCAGTAACTGAAAATGTATGCTGTTTTTTACTGTCCTGCTAAGTTTAACTTAGAAATGGAAAGATTTACTATCACCATAGTAAATTAGTTTTAAATTACGATTAGGAACGATCCGAGTCTACACTCCACAGTCAATCGGAAAGTTCTGTTATTAAAGCAAAAGTTTAAAAAATAAATTATTGATGCTTAGGCATTACAAATTTTATTGAAAGTGACCAAGGATAAAGAAAACTTGATAACATAACCTGGCCTCCATGGCATAAATTAAGGAGCTAGAGACAGTCCTCTATTCTCAGGCATTTGTAAGAATAAGAGAAAGTCTCATTTTGTTAACAATGTGTTTATTTTAGGATGACAATACATCTGGCTGAAGACAATCAACAGCGGGCCTATTATTTATCTCGTGGTAAACACTGTTAAAATGTGTACAGATACTATGATGTATACTATATTGTTAATGAACTAATGTGACAAGAATGACCCACTTTAAATCATTTTAGCATCTATGCAGAAGGCAAGCCCAGTATAAAAGGATGGAAATTACTTGCTAATCCAATTTAAAGTAGTTCTCTTTGTGAAAGAATCATAAAGTAACCAAAGATTTATGTCATTCAACTTAAAAACTAAAGCTGAACACTATTATATAGAAGTTAGTACATGATATCTTTCACTGTCTATTAAAGGTCATAATCCAAGAAGTAATCTTAATTCTACGATACATAATAAAAGGTTTTTTCCTCCCTACTATTAATAGGAAATACTACTTCAGAAGTTAGTTTCCAGTTATAGCATTGTTTATTATATCCTACTTTTGTTTGTATAATAACATATCCCATTTGTTATTCTTACTTTATATCAATAGTATATAAATATTATTCAATGACATATAACTATTTCTTATAAAACCTTGAAACTCATAAAAGCATGACTAGCAGTAGCATCTGTGTCATTTGGAGTGGGTTAGAAATGCCCAGGTACCTCCTAGACCTATGTAATCAGAATCTGCATTAAAAAATAGACTCCCACACACATTGAAGTTTGAGAAGAATTTCTATAAAATAGGAGAATAATTTAGTTTTGTCTTCTAATTCCCTCAAATGAATATGAACAATACAATAGTAGCTCTGGAATATTATGATAAAAAAGATAGCTCAATAATGATGATAAATCATTCTGGTTTACCAGTATCTGAACAGATACGCCAGTTCTAATGAAATCTTCAATCATATGGTGGAAAATGAGAATCAGGAACAGACTTACCTTCTTTTTGTACCTGCTTCCAGGGGACTTAGAGCCAATACTGACATTCAACTTTTTCATTTATATGTTGAGACTTTTATGAACTGCCTTGACTTCCCACTTGGGTCTAAATCCCCATGATACTGATATTCTATTTCTTTATATTTTATTGTATAATTTTGAAATTATGTCAAAATATTCATAGAAAAAAATGAGACATAAACGATAAAAAAGTCAATAACTCTGGTTGAACTTCTGAGATTATTCAGAATAATTCTGCCTCTTCTTCCTAATACCAGATTTTTAGGGTGAGAAAACTGCATGCCTTTGGCCTTTGCCTTCAGAAAGCCACAATAAGTCAAAAAATATAAAAGTAAAAAGAGAATTTTGCTTTCACAAATACTGAGAATATATTTTTAAGCACCAGCTTTATTCTAAGCTTCAAGAACACCACCCGAGAAGAAAAAAGAACACCCTGAATTCCTATTAGAAGTCCATTTTCTTTTGGTTGCTACCACATTTCAAGGCATTTGCATTTTATTTTCTTACTGTGAAGTAAAATGGTCAAGACCACATTTCTCCTTTACTATAGATTGGAGACACATTTGTTAGAAGGTGGGGAGTTTCTTTAAAAAAAGGATCCTTAAATGGTGGGTGGAGGGGAACAATCAAAAAAGTAAAAGCAGAAGTATCTGACTCAAAGCTGAAGTCTAGCATGCTTAAGGAGGAAATTATAAAACCATGGTATCTAGTTTACAATGATTAATAGTTATTCATAATGCTAACTTCTAAGCATTTAGACAAATAATAGAAATTGTTTTTTTATATGTAGCCTAATTAAAAAAAAAATCCAAATCCATTGAGAAGAAATTCAAATAGGATAGCAAATGCTAGACATAAACTTGTAGCTTGCTTGTAACGTATTGGCTGTCTATCTTTTAACTACAATTACCAAAATCAGGAACCACATTCTTTCACAAATTAACAAATTATATTTCTATCCCAACAGATTACCTGTATACTCACGGACATGGAACACACAGGACATTATCTGCATCTTGCCTTTCTGATGACAACAGTTTTTTCTCCTGTAACAAAAGCAAACTATACCCATCTGTGGGCTAACAATACTACTGTCTGGGATCCAGATATTCAAAATAAGACAGGCAGAAACCAAAATGAAAACATTAACACAAACTCTACAATTCCTAAAGTAGATAAAAAAAGTAATTCTACAAACATGCCTGAAATAGCAACATCATCTCTCATCGAATCTTTAACTCCTAAATCTGAACTGAAGCTTTATACACCTTCTGTTGTTAGGAACAGTTCTTCAACATTACAGAGCACTGAAAACACAAGCAAAAGTCACAGTGAAATTTTCAAAAAAGATGTCTGTGAGGAAAACAACAACAAAATGGCTATGCTGGTTTGCTTAATTATAATTGCAGTGCTTTTTCTTATCTGTATCCTTCTATTTCTATCAACTGTGGTTCTGGCAAACAAAGTCTCATCTCTCAGACGATCAAAACAAGTAGGCAAGCGTCAGCCTAGAAGCAATGGTGATTTTTTGGCAAGCAGTGGTCTATGGCCTGCTGAATCAGACACTTGGAAAAGAGCAAAACAGCTCACAGGGCCCAACTTAATGATGCAATCTACTGGAACACTCACAGCTACAAGGGAAAGAAAAGATGAAGCAACTGAAAAACTCACTAACTAACAGATGCTCTAGGGGAGAAAAATGTAAATGGTAATGAGAAAGTTTATGGAGTAAAAACCAAGTCAGTTTGATATTTAATGCCAACATACTGGTCAGATGGTCTTAAAATTTTGACATCGCAGGCTTTGCAATTTAGAATCAAGCGGGAGAGAAGGGGAGAAGTATGCCTGCTTACTTAATTACTTAAAGTGCGCACTTTTGTTCTGACACTGAATATTTTAAAAGCAAATAATAAAACAACCAAGAATTGGGGGAAGTTTTTAAAGACAAGATGAAAGAACAGAGGTAGAAAGGGACAATTAAATCATTATTTCCTGTTCAGCAACAGTAGTAAGATGACCTTTGTCAGACTAAACTCTGAAGAGTTTTAGTGTGTCCTTAAAGGAAAGTTATGTTTCAACATCTAACAGAAGTCAAACTCCTAATGCAGAGAGTTGCACTGTATAGATTAATGGTACCTTCTTTGCTGAATGTGACAGAATCCATACCAGCTCATATATCAATATAGCTAATTTTATGCTAGATGTTTTCATCTTTATGGCACACAGGAGAAAATGTTTTTCTACTATAAACTTTTAATTTTGTATAATAAATTATGACTCATTAGAATTAAACTGACTACATTTGCATTCATTTTATTATCTGTGAATAACGCATTGTAAAAATCAATAAGAAATGAAGCACAATTGAAACATGAAATTTATAGCCACAACTGAAGGCTAAGTGTAAATGTAAAGCATATCTTACTGTTTAAGTATAACACATCTGTATTCTATAAATACTGCTCATTGGATTATTTATAGCAAATATCCAAAGGTTGATTGATTTCTGAACTTCAAGGATGCCAAGTGACCTATTAAAATGACCAATTCCATTTTTTTTTTTTTTTTACTATCAATGTGATACGAGCAAAGGAAAGATGTGTATGTATGTGTATGTTTCTTCTAATCTGGAAAACAGGATACTTTAGGTAAACGTTTAACTCTTTAAGAAACTGGGTTCAAGTAAAATAATGACATTAAGTCAAGACTTCCATCTCCAATTAAATATACATTACAAAAGCTGGTTCAAGAGGCTTTCCACCTATCTACAGAAATTGACACAGGGCATCCTAATTAAACACCGAGCCACATTTAAAAAATCACATTCCATATTCAGCATTTATTTTGGGCAATATGCTAGTCTTTAAAGAAAGGTTATACATATATTTTTCCAAGAATGACTACAATCCTGCTCTCCCTTCTAGGTTAGTGATTCTCATCCTGGCTGCGTTATAAGAAGGATCGGACTGGAAATGAAACTGGGCAGAGTTCTTATTTTGTACAAATTAAAATTTGAGATGATATACTAGAGTAGATAGTGATAACGCAAAAGCCTGTTTGAATCAAGTGTCATATATACTTGATACTTGGAGGAAATAAAAACAATTTAGTGTCTTTTTGAAAAGAAATTAACGAGGCAACTACTTTCATATTTAACATACAGATCAAACATTTTCTCACAACACAGAAAGCTTCTACTGTGGGATTGCTTACAATTCATCACTCACTATCTTGGCTATTAAACGCGTACCCTCAGAATGACATCGTTCAATGACAGCTCATGAACAAACAGAAGTGGTTCCTTTCCAAACCTGACAATGTTTAAAAATGATAGGTTAACATATGTTTTGAGTTCAAATTTTAAGTTATTTTTGAACAAAGACACTTTTGTTTTCTACTCCTTGGTATTATGGTTTACATGCTTAATTTAGGGATTTTAACAGAGTCAATCAAACGTTTATAGCATTCTGATAATATTCTGCTTTATAGTAGGACCTCTGAAAAAAGAAACTATTATTCTTGCACCAAGTTATAAGTACCTAGCTGTTAAGAACTGGGTCTTAGTAATCTGCATTCCTCTGCAGTGACCATAGGAAAGCAAGGCATGGTTTAGTACTTACTGTTTATTTCTACTATAACATGCGCAATACTAGGCACTTTACATTTATTTAATCCTATAATAAATTTACAAATTAGAAATTATGATCTCTATTTTTCAGATGAAGAAAGAGACTAGAAGAGGACTTGCCCAAAGAAATTTTTATTCAGACCGGATCATATATGCTTTTCAAAATACTTTCCTTTGTTAACTTAAAGAATGAGTATCAATTTATTTTTCCGCTGACCTACTTTATGGGTAATCAAAGAGTTGTGGACTTGAACTCAAAAATTATTTAGTAAAGTATTTGGTCAAAAAATTTAATTATACTTTTACCTGGTCTTTGCCTAAATTATGTAAAGGAAATAACACTGACATTTACTGTTAGCTACTGCCTGTGAAACATTTGTACATTATCTTATTTAATCTACACAACAACTAAGAGAAATAAATATTCCCCCAGAGGAAGAAATGGTGATTCAGAAGTGCAGTTACTTGCCTAAGGTCATACAAGTAAACAGAACACATCATTCATTTCCTATGAAAAGAAATCTCACTATGGGTAATAACCTAACTGGCAGTTTTTCCTTAGAACATATAATTTGCTCTTCAAGGCTCTATTCTAAATATTTAAATTACATAATCACATTACTAGAGAGTCTCAAGTATTTACTTACAAACATTAATTAAAACCACTCAAATCATATAGCTCCAAATTTTGTTTCAAAATAAGTTCTGTTACAGTAGTACATTTCTTAGTCATTTTGTGGCTTATTGCACTTCCTGAACCAACTACTGATAAACTTCCTCTTTTTCTACAGAAACCATTTCAGTTTGCTAGAGGACCATTTTTAATCTGAATTGAACCACCCCTTTTGCCTTCTTAGCCATATCACCAAAATGTCCAGCTAGAATAAGAATTTAGCATCCTGCAAAAGAAGTTAACATCTGAGGTAAGAAAATTTTCACACAGGCAATCTCGTTTGATCTTTGCTTTATATAAAATTTATTTTTAAAACTAAAATATCTATAACTTAAACTTAAACTCTGATAGTCTAAAGATGTCTATAATAGGTTTTGTTGCATGGAATTAAAAAAAATAGTGTTGAACTTGTCTTGGAGTAAGAAATTTTACCTAAGTTTGTATAATATATAATTTTACTTAGGTTTGCTAATCTTAGTTCCATAATTAGAAGAAATTAACTATAGCTATGGCAGATAAAATACAACCAAATCCAAGGGATATGACTGAATTTACAATCCCCAAATACTGACTTTAAAAATTCTGATTTGCTTTCTATAAAATGTTCCTATACATAACGTAATCCATAGATTTAAATTATTTTTATTTTTTAATCCTCTTTAGTTTCCGTAGTAAGAATGGTCACCTTCGCCTTCAGTTAATTTAAAAAGAAACCAAAGTAGATTCGATGAGGTATTCAATGATCATTATTACATATGCTTTATTTTTATACAAATAGAATTTTACATGTAAGCAAATGATGACATAAAAATATTATCACTCATTTTTAAAGTTAAGGCAAAACTGTTATGAAAAATGTGTGTGTATATATTCATATCATCTACATATTTATGTCACATATTATCTGAGTCTTTAGTAAACAGTGTAAAATAGATATGGGAAAAAACACCCACAGAATAAACAATAGAAAATTGCTAATATGCATAAAAGATGTCTACTTTGTAAGTAAACTGGGCAATTACAAAGTAAATATCCTCCAAAATAAAAACAGCAAAGAGTTTACAGACTTAAAATATCATAGAATCATAAATTTATAGTGGGTAATATCCTATATCGACAGTTCATAAATACTTATGACTTTCCCTTATAGAAGTCCACTTTGGATTTCTTCTAAGTAAGTATCAACAGAAGTTAGAAAATAAAGATTTTAATCTCCTTTTAGACAGGACTTGTCTATATTTTTTAGACAAGACTTCTCAGCCCTAATTTTAGAGCTTAAAAGTACTTGTGTTTTCCAACTAATTTCTATATAATTTTACTTAGGAGGAAATTCTGAATTCTGAATAAACTTGAATTTGTTAAAGATAAATCTGATGCCTTTCAATGTCTAATCTTTAAAAATCACATCAAATATGACAGCTTACAGGCTAACCACTCAAAACTCCCATAACGTTTGTATGGAATCACAGGACTAAAATGGTTTTCTAGTAGTTCTTTTCCTACTCTTTATTTATACAAGACTATCTCCCAAAGTTACTTACATATCTGTTTCCAGAGAGTTCACATCTCTGTTCTTTATAAAGCATTTCTATTTCCTAATTTTACTATGAAAGGCAGTGTGGCATGTATAGTGACATATCATAGTAGGAAAAAGCTCTGGTACAAGATTGATATAATTTCTGCATTAGTGCCACTATTTACAGCTGTGACACTTTGGCAAGTTACCCAACTTCTCTGTTCAGTTTCTTTTCTGTAAGATGAGGAAACCACTACCTTGCTCAGTAAAATAGGATAGTGCCTAGCATTTGGTGGGTACTCGGTAAATGGTGGTTATTTATTATTGATAAAAGATGGTCATCAAGTACTTTCTATCATAGTTCAAGGTTAATTTCTCTTTCCATTCTTCCTCAAGATATAGAATTGCTATTCTCTTTCTTTTATGATTTGATAACTTCACTAGTTGGAGATACACTATTACTAAATTTTAATCTATTATATGAGGACTCCTGTTTTACTGTAACTGCCTTTTAAATGCTTAGTTAAAACAGCTTATATTTCTCTTCTTCTTTTAAAAATTTTTAAAATTTTCAGGAAAAACAAAAGACCAAAATCACAGATTTAAACCTCAAAGTGCCAAACTAAAATAATGAGCAAAATACTGCCATACGAAGGTAGACAAATTTGAGATTGCCCCAAATAGTAGACAAAAGGATTTCTAGAAAAATGCCATATAGAATGTGCATAAGTTCTTTAGAATAATTAGCAGGTATGATTCTGGGTAGTGCTGGGGAGAGGAGGGTGCCGAGAATGAGAAGCTTAAGGATATTTAGGGCAGACAGGAGAGCCTGAAATGAAAGATGAGTTTGAGAAGATGGGTGATTCAAGTCCTCCATATTGGGAAGACAATCCTCTGTTGCCTCCCTGCATCACAAATACAGGAGCAGCATTTTGTGGTTGCTTCTTTCATCTACTTCAATCTTCTCCCCCAACTTCTAATTTTGCCCACGTTAATCTTCTACCCTAACTTCTTACTAATTACATAATTTCCACTTTTTCTTCAGCTTATTAACTTTTCTTTTCAATATCTCCTCTAGTCAACTGACCTCCTCCTTTTCCATATATTTGCTGCTTACTATAATTTTTGCCTTATTTTTCTCTTTTGTGTTATTTTGTATTTCTTCTCATTCCTTTTTCATTTCATCTTATCCCACATCTCCTTTTTACTCCTCTGACCCTGGTTCTACCTTCTATCCTTGTAGAAACAATGTTGAGACTTTAGTTACACACAGTTTATATATTTTAAATAACATATGTTAAATAACTTTCTGTACTGGTCATAACCCTGGCCATAACACTGCCTCTAATTTAGAAAAAAGTAAGTTTCTTCACTATTATGCCGTATATTTATTAAAAAACCCTGTTCCTTCTTTTCTGGACTATTCTGAATTGCTGTAGAATTCTAACACAGATGCTGGCGTACTGATGTAACAGACAGTAGAAGGTAGACAACAAATTAGGGCATGGGAAAGGGGTAGGACAGGTAATAAATGAATTTGGTTTTAATACTGCCACACAGCTTAAATAATACGTGAAAAATCTCATATACTGAAGGTCCTATGGCCTTCCTATAGACAAAAGAGACTATGAACCTATCAAAATTGATCTTACATACTAAACTGCATTTATAATTA